GTGACTGAAAGTAAGAAATTATTTGAGTCTTATGTGGTAAACAAGATAAGATTACGATTAGGTTGCACTCGTTTAATAGCTATTTCGCAATATCGTATCGAAATTTCATTAACGTTATCCATGGAAGAAAGCGAAGTAAAATTATCTTGCAATTTCTTAATACATAAATGAAAATAATCAATGTTGTGGCAGAACTTTTGTTATTTTACGTACGATATTGCCAAAAGTGTGTATCAAATGTACAAAGTTTAAATGTACGTGGTTGCCAACGAATAAGAATAACAAGGCAGATATTGCTTTACATTTATAATTGCTATTCGGGGAAAAAATTGTTGCGTTACTCGATGAGTAATTATACTTACTATTTAAAACTGGTTTCCATCACGAATTTATGCACGATATCCGATATTGTTGTTAGCTCTATCACCGTAATATGTTGTAAATTAATTAATTGATTATTTCAGAAATAAGGCGATTGCGGACTATCTCAGTACTAATGGCTATCAAGATGCGCTCGAAGCGTTCAAGAAAGAAGCCGACATGCCTGGGGAAGTGGAAAGAAAATATGGGGGTCTTCTGGAAAAGAAATGGACCTCGGTCATACGTTTGCAAAAGAAGGTAAAACTTTGAATCTATGCCTTGTTGAAATGCTAAGTCAGAAATGGTAAAATCGATACGCGTGAATATTTAATCGATTATTTAAATGTTTTAGGTAATGGAACTGGAATCCAAACTCTCTGAAGCAGAGAAGGAATTTATCGAAGGAGCACCGACACGTAGCAAACGGTCACCATCTGAATGGATACCAAGGCCACCCGAAAAGTACAGTCTCACTGGACACAGAGCTCCCATCAACAGAGTTATTTTTCATCCGGTTTTTAGTCTTATAGTGTCTGCCAGCGAAGATGCCACCATCAAGGTAGAATCATTGATTTGTCAAAATTGACAAGAACCTAGTTGAAGGAACTGGCGTGAAACGTTGTCCTTGATCTAAGAAACGATATTTATTCTGATTTTTTTGAAATCGAGTCGTTCGAGTTAGCCAATGATAATTGTTTTCAATCTTTTTCCAGTTGTGTTATGCCTCCCTCCCCGGTGCGAGTTACTCCCTTATTTGTTCAGGTCTTACTGAAATTGATTTTCTTGTTTGTATTAATTCCTCTCAGGTGTGGGATTTCGAGAGTGGCGAATTCGAAAGAACATTGAAAGGGCATACTGACAGCGTGCAGGACGTCTCTTTCGACGTCTCCGGGAAACTGTTAGTCTCATGCAGTGCGGACATGTCTATTAAGTTGTGGGACTTTCACCAGTCATTCGCCTGCGTGAAAACCATGCACGGACATGATCATAGTGTCAGCTCTGTCGCATTTGTGCCACAAGGAGATTTCGTAGTGAGCGCCTCTAGGGATAAGACCATCAAAATATGGGAAGTCGCGACAGGGTATTGTGTTAAAACGTTGACGGGACATAGAGAGTGGGTACGGATGGCCAGAGTCAGTCCCTGTGGAGAATTAATTGCTAGTTGCTCGAACGATCAAACGGTACGAGTTTGGCATGTCGCAACAAAGGAAACAAAGGTAATTTTACGTGAAAAAAATAAATTTTTTTTTAGCGGAATCGTTTCCTATTTTAAAGCGTAGATAATAGATTAAAATTTCCAGCCATTCTTAATTAGCACTCAATGTTTAGAAAGGTTTTCTTTATACGTATTCTTATTTACTAACATTACACTATTAACTGTGTGATGATTATTCTGCCTTAGAATCTTCATTACTCGTATAATTGTAAAACGTTATACAACAGAATTGGATCACTTGGTTACGTGACATTATTGCTGCAGATAAAAGCCAAATAAAGTAAAAATGAATACAAGTACTTTAAATCGAATAACTAAATGGCAGTAATTGTACAAAACATTGAAGTGATTTGAATAAAGTGATAACTTATTATTCTAATAAGTTACAATGAAGTAAATTTGATATATATTTTATAAGTTATAGTGAAGTATGAATAGATTACAACGGCAATTTATTATAATGATAAATTGTACGGAATTTGAATTATACAGTTTTGTTTTTATTATTCGATATTTCTTGATTCAGGTGGAACTCAGAGACCATGAACACGTGGTGGAGTGTATCGCATGGGCACCAGACAGTGCAAGGGCATCTATCAATGCTGCGGCAGGAGCAGACAATAAGGGTGCCCATGAAGGACCTTTCCTCGCATCTGGCTCGCGAGACAAGGTAATTCGCGTATGGGACGTCGGTGCTGGTGTTTGTCTTTTTACCCTTTTGGGACATGACAATTGGGTTCGCGGCATCGTCTTCCATCCCGGTGGCAAGTTTATCGTCAGTGCCTCTGACGATAAGACCCTGCGAGTCTGGGACACGCGCAACAAACGGGTAATGAAAACTCTCGAAGCGCACGTCCACTTTTGCACCTCCGTTGGTGAGTACACAATACTTTATAACTCGGCAAAATACGTTTTTACTCGGAAATTATTTAAGAACCAACGAAGGTTCAATTAGTCATCCAAGAGCTGTAGAATCAAAGAGATTAAGTGATCATGTAACATATTGAATCATTTTTGTTATCTCACGTATGATTAAGTATTTTGATTATGTAACTTAGGATATTTGTTTTCTCAAATTTCGATCAGTCTTTTTAATATATATGTATGTGTTTAAAAATGAAATAATGAAATTATATGTACTGTAAATGATTAATTGAAGCAGAAATTTGCTTTACTGTAGGATAACTTCTTTTGATATATTTACAATTGTTTTTTAAACGGCATATTATATTCTAATTAATATCAAATTGAGTTGCATGTTATAATAAATAGTGTGACCTTGATATAATGTAAGTTTATAGATTATGCGATATACACGCCAACAATGTACTATTTTTAGAATACATTGATCGAAAAAGTTTATACTACTAGTTATACTAGTTGAATGAGAAATTTTATGAATTTTTACATTGTCATTACTGAAGCCTCGATTGTTTTTACTCTTCTATTCTTAAAAGATACACATCATATTAACTGAGTAATAAAAATAGAATGGATCAATATTTACAGAAATTTGAAAGCAAAACAAGCCGATATAATTATTTATTTCTCAAAACAGTAATTTACATATTTTTTAGTTTAATCAATGGAAAAGTTCAATGTTTATTTGATATTTTTGTCTTATCTTTTAGTAAATATAGTTATGTTACTCATATATAAACAATTCAACTTCGTATAGGTAGACTTATTCCATGAAAAAATACAATATCTAACGTGTAACGATAGATATTTAAACGTTTTAAATCAGAAAATTGTTTTCCAATAATTTGTATGTACTGATTATTGCATAAAATGAATTTTAGATTTTCACAAAAGCCATCCTTACGTGGTCACCGGTAGTGTCGATCAAACAGTAAAGATTTGGGAATGCCGCTAGTCACCAAAACATCAGGGTCTCATTGAATCTTCGTTCGAGGAAGAAAGATTTTGAAGAAAAGGCGAACGATGCGCGTCGAATTCGATGAAAACGGCCGAGAGAGTAAGCTGCTACAAAAAAATGTTATCGTACATACTACTATTATTAATATTAATATTATTATACACACATAAACACGTACGATTAAGAGCTCTTTAATTAATTTATAATAAACTATAATTAGTAATTATTAATATTACATATACGTTTTACGATAACGAACTGCACGATTCGAGGAGAGTCGGTCGAAATTAATTTTCATTCATGAGGAGGACATTGCCATAATTTCGTCGACGATGGGGGGGGGG